ATGCATGTATGCAGACTCTTGTGCTCAATCCTCACAAGACTCTATTTAATCAGAAAAGGTAGCTTGTGGCTTTGAACCTTTCTTAGTAAACATCATCGGATGTACTGGCGGATTAGTGGACATAGTGTACACCAAGACAATGACATTCACACAATAGAGCCTTAACTTCATTCCGTTCTATTGTTGTGTCCGTTTTGGCCATGGACAACACTTTGGATTCATAAGTATTTACAATTGAAGCGGCCCTCACTTCACACTTATATAGGTGACCTCTCTGTCAAGAGTATCCTGTATTACTCTACCTTTAAAAGGTTAGAGATTCATTAAAAGTCCAGATGACTTACTCTCACCACAATCAACAGGTAATCTTGCACTTGGATTTCTTAGGGAATAGATTTGGACACTCTAATGTTCCAAGTGCTCCGCTGAATTTTCATAGTTTAGTTTTCCCCTTGAACCAAGTTTATGGGATCTCCATTCAACAAGGTAGGGTTCCCACTATGATCATTCTTTCCATTGTGGATTTTTAATCCCATTCCCTCTAGCAGTATTCCCAATTGATCTCTATTCAATCCTTTAGTAAAAGGATCAACCAAATTTTCCTTAGACTTTACGTAGTCAATGGAAATAATACCATTTGTGATCAACTGGCGAACGATATTAAGTCTACGACGAATATGTCTAGACTTACCATTGTACATGTTACTTTGCGCCCTTCCTATAGCAGCTTGGCTATCACAGTGAATCATCACAGGCGACAAAGGTTTATTCCAACATTGAATATCGGATAAAAAGTTTCGGAGCCACTCGGCTTCTTCACCAGCTTTATCTAAAGCGATGAACTCCGACTCCATGGTTGACCGAGCTATACATGTTTGTTTTGTGGACTTCCACGAAATAGATCCTCCTCCGATACAGAAGACATATCCACTTGTGGAGTGAGAATCTCTCGAATCCGATTTCCAGCTTGCATCACAATATCCTTCAAGTACTGCTGGATATCTCGAGTATTTTAGCCCGTATCCAAGGGTGTACTTTAAGTACTTCAGTACCCTTTTCAAAGCATTCCAGTGCTCATGACTGGGATTGCTCGTAAATCTACTTAACTTATTCACCGGATAAGCCAAGTCTGGTCGTGTACAGTTCGTCAAGTACATTAGACTTCCTATTATCCGTGAATATTCCAATTGAACAACTGGTTGACCTTTATTGGCTTCCAGATTTATGCTAAGATCAAGGGTGTCATAGACAAAGGACCTTCATAGGCATTAAATTTCTTGAGCACTTTCTCTACGTAATGAGATTGTGACAAGACAATTCCATCTTGGGTTCTGATAATTCTTATTCCAAGAATTACATCAGCTAAACCCATATGTTTCATGTCGAAATTTCTTTTCAACATTCGTTTCGTATCCATGATTACATCATGGCTACTCCCCATGATCAATATATCGTCTACATATAGACATACAATTACATATGTATTTGATGTGTTTTTAACATAAACACATTTGTCACATTCGTTGATTTTGAATCCATTTGACAACATCACGTCATCAAATTTCAAATGCCATTGTTTCGGAGCTTGTATAAGTCCGTACAAGGATTTGATCAATTTGCACACCTTTTTCTCTTGTCCAGGTGCTACAAAACCTTTGGGTTGTTCCATGTAAATCTCTTCTTCTAATTCACCATTCAAAAATGTCGTTTTGACATCCATTTGATGAATCTCAAGATTGTGCAAAGCAGCAATAGAGAGAAGCACTCTAATTGACGCTATACGCGTCACAGGTGAATAGGTATCAAAGAAGTCGTACCCTTCTTTTTGTTTAAAACCTTTGACCACTAATCTTGCTTAAAACTTTTCAATCGTTCCATCAGCTTTGTATTTTCTTTTTAGGATCCACTTGCATCCTAATGATTTATAACCCGCAGGGAGATCAACCAACTCCCAAGTATGATTTTGCATAATGGACTCGATTTCGCTATTTATAGCTTCTTCCCAGAGTGGTCCATCTGGGCTAGACAGAGCTTCCTTAATGGAACTCGGTTCATCATCCAACATATACGTAATAAAATCAGGTCCAAACGTTTTTGTCGTTTTTACCCTTTTACCACGTCTCGGTTCTTCTTCTTTATTTTAGTACCATCTGGTACAGAACCACTAGCAGTTTCATACGTCCTTTTGTTAGAACTAGATTCTGTCCTTTCCTTCAAAGGAAAAATATTCTCGAAGAATATAGCATTCCTCGACTCAATAGTGGTACCAACTGATAC